GTTTTAACGTGTTTTTGGCGACATATGACACTGTTTAAATAGTTTACATATTGGAATGTTTAAACACCGTTTTATTCGTTTCGCTGTCTGCCTGGGTAGGCTAAAGGCACAAACTCCTTTCAGAGTATTCATAACTCATTCTTCTATAATAACTTTAAAGTGTTATTTTAGAATTCCAAACTTGAAGGAGTACTTAATCATTGTAATGATGTTATAAAAACTCATCAAGACAAAGAAGCTGAATTAATCAAAGAACGTGATGAAATTCTTCAAAAATTAAATGAAAAACAATCTTTCATTGAATCTATGATGAAGGTATTTCTTTTTGTATTTTTATCTTTTACCATTTATCTAAAAAAAAGATAAGACTATATACACACACACATACAACACTAAGGAGAATTGTTCTCGACATATATATTTATAGGCAACTGCAAAAGGAGAAGATCATTTCAGTTTGAAGCATTTTGTAAGAAATATTATGGTGAGTGGGTTAAATAATAAAATAACAATATTAACTCTCGATAAATTTACCTTTATGCATCTTGCATGTTATTTTATATTGTATGTCTTGTATTTGTGTATTAAATTACTATGGGAATATTATAGTCAGCTTTATAGTTTTTCTTTTCTTTATATTTGCCACTTAAGTAGAATTAATAATATTCGAAATTAATGTTATTTTAAATTGAAAGAAATTTTTTTAATTTTAGGATCGTCATTCAGACGAAATATTGACAACGTCAATGGAAGTTCAAGAACATTTTGATTCGGATATAAGTGTTTTATTACAAGATAAACAACGTTTACAAGAAAAATTAGAATCATCACATCTTTGTGTTCAACAACTTGAAAATGAACTTGATTTAATAAAACGAAAAATTAATATCGATGAAGATATTAAAGAAAAATATGATAATTTATTAATTAAATTTCATGAAAAATCAGATTATACTGAACAATTAATTAATGATAAAACAAAACTTGAAACAACAAATGAAGAATTTCAAAAACAAATTCAATTATTGCAACAAGATATAACTCAATATACAGATTTAAATCTTATTTTATCTAATCAACAAATGAATATTTTATGTTTAACTGAAGAATTAAATCATTTACGAGAAACAATAAAAAATATTGAAAATATTCTTCCATCTAGTGAATCAATTGATTTATTCGAAAGAATTCAACAATTAATTGATGATCGTCAAAAAATTTCTGAAGAAATTCATCATGAACAACAGCAAAACGAACAACATTTCAAAACTATTGATGATCTTAAAAATGAATATGAAAATCAAATTAGTGAATTACAACAAACAAAACAACAAGTTTTAGGTTAGATAAAGTTTTCTAAATATTAATAACAATAAAATATCCAAATATATTTTGATAACTCTGAAATTTAAGAATATGATCAAACTTTTTCATAAAAACAAATTCTTTCTTTCTGCCAAAATAAAGCTAGTCTATTTTACAAAATGCGTTTTATCTAATGATTGGTTGAATAATAATAGAAATCATTGAACAAAATTCAGATATAAACAGCTAATTTCAACAATTTAAAAGTTGATTAGCAACTCTAAGAGAAGATACTTAAAATGAATACATTAGAGTCATTAAACGAGATGAAACTTACAAAGTAATGAATCATTCAATCAATTAGAAAAAGAAACAGTAGTTCTACACTTATTGTCTTTTATAAAATAGTTAGTTGTTCTTGTCATAGTTTGCCATCAAGAGTCAAAGTGTTATTGAGGAACTTGTGCAGAAAACTTTTGAACAGAAATTTTTATAACGAACATTTCGTAAGAGCTTACGAAGAAGTATACAATCTCGAATCAGTGTTTTATTTAGATTTTTCTCATTGCAAGAAGCGATTTAAAACTCTAGAAAGATGAACACCAATTCTTTGAACGAGAAAATTATAGTATGTAGTACAATAATCACAAACTTAAGGACGATCAATTCAATCTTTAAGGGATCATTGCTTCCATTGGTTCGCATACTGAATAAAACATCTGTGAGCCTTTGTCGAACCCTTTAATCTAATGTTTGAATTTTACTGAATTAGAATATCACTTATTCCCAGAGTCGGGCAACTCAAAGAAATTTCTGAAAGTGCTTCATAAGATCATTTTACACAATAAAACGAATAAAAAGTCAATTTATGACTATGATATATTTTATGAGTGCTCTCCAAAACGTTTATCTCGATGTAGCAGCATTACACTCACATCAATTTATCGCTATTTTCTTCTCTTTGTTGATGATTACGTATAATTTATGCACCTATGCTCTCAACGTACTTGAATTGAATTCAAACATTTGTTTTTTGAAATCATTGAATTGATCATCGTTTTAAGTTGAGTGGCTCAGTTCTACTTTTCTCTATTTATTATTGATAACTTCAGAATTATACTTTTGATTTTCTTCTAGATAATGAAGTTAATCAACTTAAAACTACTCTCACAAAATTACAACAAGATTATGATGAATCTTTTAATAATAGTGCTCAATTAAAACAAACACTTGAAAATCAACGACACGAACATTTGGAACATATTACAAAACTTATCAATGAAAAACAAAATGAGTTTGATACCAATATTCAACAATTACAAGAAGAAAATACTTATCTTAAGTCTCAAATTCAGGCGATTGAACAATTAAAAGATTCATCAATTCAATCTTTACAAGATGAACATCGAAAATCAATTGAAATCCTAAACTCACAAATCGAACAACAACAAAGTGAAATTAATCAACTAAAACTACAATTAAATCAATATGAAAATGATTTCGAAAATATTAAATTAACACAAAATGAATTAGCTAAATTACAAGAAAAATGTAATATTACAACACAACAATTACAAGATAATACACAACAACTTGAAGAAAAACAAAATGAAATCATACAACTTAATTCTACTATAAGTGATATCAAAACAATAAACTCGACAATCATCCAAGAAAATGAACAAATCAAAAAACAATTTGAAGATAAACAAAATGAAATTAATCAACTTACTACAACTGTAAACCAGCTACAGGAAACTAATCTAAAGTTAAATAGTAAATGTGAAGAGTATGAAAAACTAGTTGATGAAAAACAAAATCAAATTGATCATCTTACTATCATTATCAATGAAATGAAAGAAAAGAATTCAAAAACAACTGAAGACTTTGAACAAATTAAAAAACAATTCGGCGATAAACAAAATGAAGTTAATCATCTTATGACTCTTATCGATGAAATAAAAACAACGAATACCGAACTCAATAATAAATATAAACAAATTGAAAACGAACTCGATGAAAAACAAAATGAAATTAATAAGCTTCATTCTACAACTAATGAATTAAAACAAACTAATACAACAACTAACGAAGAATATGAACAAATTCAAAATCAACTTACGGAAAAAGAAAATCAAATCAAACGTCTTACTACAATAATCGTTGAATTTTTCGTTTTTATTTCGTCATTTAATACAGTTAACTGATTAAATTCATTTTGTTTATCTTTAAGTAATGTTTCAAAATGTTCACAATTATTATTTAATGTTAGATTAGTTTCCTGT